ACGTGCGCCTAATCAGTCATTATGGCAGGAATATTAGGCCCATATCAGAGCCTGACCAAAATTTCTGCTCGGGTGGTACGTGTCGCTCGTTATCGAGCCTACATTGGCGTCGCTCGAAGAGTGTCAGGAACGCGACAGCGGGTGGGCGCTCTCGCGAATCCTGAATTTAACCGTGAACGTGAACAAACTGAATCCCATGCACGCGGGATGTTGTATCAAAGTGCCACCAAAAATTAAAAGTCAAAAAGCGGTAGTTAACGTGCGCTCAAAGGACAATGCGTGCTTCGGGTGGTCGGTGGTCGCAGCTCTGTACCCGGCTAAAAATCATGTGGATCGGACATCGTCGTATCCGCATTACACTACTATGCTGAATCTCGATGGCATCGAATTTCCGATGAAATTAAAAGACATTTCGAAATTCGAACGTTTGAACGATAGCTCGATCAACGTCTACGGTATCGAGAACGAGAACATTCTGCCTCTCCGGCGAAAAGAAGGAGAAGCATGTGAACATGCTATACATACAAGGTCCACGCAACGATGGAATTGGTCATTTCGCATGGATCAAAAACCTATCCCACCTCGTGAGGTCACAAGTCACCAAAAAGAAGAATAAAATATTTGTCTGCGACCGGTAAGTACAATAAGTAAAAAATAAAATATTAAATTTAAAAAATTTAATTTGTACTAATAAATTTATGTTTTTCTGTTTGTAGATGTTTACATTATTTTTCCTCCAACGAAAAATTGGAGAGCCACAGCGAGGATTGTGGAAAACTGAACAAGTGCGCTATCCGCTTGCCGAGCGAAGACGACAAATGGTTGGCCTTCCGCAACTACTGCAGAAAGGAGAAGGCGCCTTTCATCGTGTACGCCGACCTGGAGTGCGTGCTGAAGAAGACGGAAGATGCATCATTATCGGCATCGTCGTACGCGTATCAGCAGCACGAAGTATTTAGCATTGGATACTATGTGCGATGCTCGTACGACGACGCGTTATCGACGTATCGGTTTCGTCGCGATAACGACTGCGTCAGCTGGTTCGCGCGCCAGCTCGAGGATTTGGCGCACCGCGCGAAAACTGTAATATCCGCTAGCCGACCTATGGATTTCACGCGCGACGACTGGCAGAAGTTTAACAGTGCTACGCACTGTCATATATGCGAGAGACCGTTCGCGCCTTGCGACGAGCAGGCACGCGATCACTGCCACTGCACCGGGCGCTACCGCGGTCCAGCGCATAAGGGCTGCAATATAAATTATACATATTCTTTTTACATACTGGTTGTATTTCACAACCTATTGGGGTACGACGCGCACTTTTTAATCAAAGAAATCGCTACCGCGTACGATGGGCAGGTAGATCTACTTCCTCTAACTAAAGAGAAATATATTTCGTTCACGAAACATGTTGACAGCACTAAAGAAAAAGATGAAAATAATATTAAGAAAAATGGTATTAAATTACGATTCATTGATTCTTATAAATTTTTGAGTGCGAGTCTAGATAAATTGGTGTCGTATCTCGATAAAGAGAAATTGAAAATTGTGCGATCCGAATTCTCTCATTTATCAGACGAAGATTTCAATCCGCTTACTCGTAAAGGAGTATTTCCGTACGAGTACGTAGATTGCTTTGAAAAACTCGATGACACGCGTCTACCACCGCGCGAATCTTTTCACAGCTCGCTGACGGGTGATACAGTGTCTGAGAGCGATTACGCGCACGCCGCGAACGTATGGCAGCGGTTCTCCGTGCGAACGCTAAGCGAGTACAGCGATCTGTACTTGAAAACCGATGTTTTGTTATTAGCCGACGTTTTCGAAAATTTTCGCGACAGTTGCGTCGCGAGTTACGGTCTCGATCCCGCGCATTACTATACATTGCCCGATTTCACGTGGAACGCTATGCTGAAACACACGCGCGTGAAATTCGAGTTGCTCACCGATATACATACGGTGATGTTTATCGAGCGCGGTATACACGGCGGCCTAAGTCAATGTTCCGGCAGATACACAAAGGTTAATAACAAGTACATGCGTTCGTACGACTCGTCGAAACCGTCGTCGTACCTGGGCACCTATCATGGAGATTTTGTGATTCCGATCGGAATTGTGAGATTCCGACTGGCGAGTTTCCGACCGCGATTTCGCTAATACGGTTTTGCTATTATGGATCCCAAGCGGAATCGGCTTTTCGATCATTTCTGTCGATTCGGAATGAACGTAAACGAAACAAGAGGAACGGGCGAAATGGACTTTTACAACCAATTACAATGCAATTCTAGAAGAAAAATAACTAAAATGTCGGACTGTGAAAATATATTCAGAAATATATTCAGAATATACAAATCCGTATCACATATCTAATAAAATATAAAAATATACATTATATTATATATTAATGTTTATTAATTTTTGTTTCTTTTATTATTTTTCAATTTTAAAATATACTTTATATTTGAATATATATATATTTTATTTATTAATATTTAAAAAATTGTCTATATTACAAAGTCAAATTCCTTACAATTTGCACATGTTGTGCATGATATCCTTTTCTATTAACATACAATCCTTCGTGGTTAACAGGTACTCTTATAGCAACGTTAGTTCCATCTACAAAACCAATTAAGCCTGGAATTCTAGTGATATTATAATTTCTGAAACATAAGTTTTTCTCTTTTTATTTACCGACATCTTAAACACAGAAGACGATACGACATAAAGAATGTCAACGTGTGGGCCCTGTGTATATATACAAAAAGTTACACGACTCATTATTCTTTGTATACATATACCTCTGAACAACTTGTTGGATCTCTTATGGTGTCGTTGGAAAATATAAAAAAAAATATTTTTGGAAAGGGGGGAGGAGGAGGAGAAGGAGAATATTAATCTTCCTACACTTGAGTAAGACATCGACCTGGGGGGCGGGGGTGTAGTGAGTGAGTGAGTAAGTGAGTGAGTGCTGCCGCTGCTGTTGCTGCTATGGATTTATTATAACGTAAGTAAAAAAATATTTATCATTTTCATTTTTCTTTCGCCGTCTCTATTAAGCCTACGGCACACGGGGTGTGTTTAGTTGCTGGTTTCGTTGACAGATTTCTTGTGCGCTACTCTGTTGGCAGCTTTGCATGCAATTAAGACGACATCGCTGATTGTTTTCGCTTCACACGAGCAGAAGTTACCGGTTAGAAACATAACCTTTCAAACTAAGTGTCATAGAGAAAGAGTCAGAAAAGTAAGTTTTGAATAAAATTATATGAAAATTAGTTGGTCATATGACATATTTATATTGTATATTACTAAACTACCGTTAATTAATTGTGATAGGTTATTACTTTTATTTAACTAGTACCAAAACAAGCAGTAAAAATAGCACCGTTTCTATCATCGAAAACCACCAAGCAAATACGCATGACATCACGCAGTGTACAAAATCTCCAGCTTCGTAGCTAGTGGCATGGTGGAAATATACAAGGTGAAGTATTCCGTAGGATGCGCAGTCGTTCATGTCACGTGATGTCACGAGCCAATCAGCTTGTGATATCAAATGCATGAAATGAAGATGGCTGCTTTAGTCTATCCTTATCTATCAAGTAGCGTCTAGCTCAGTCTAGCTTTGTCTAGCTCTAGCGTCAGCTGTCATGTGTCATCAGTCATTCCGTGTTTGTGTTTCATAACAGTTTGTTTTTTACATTTTGTTGCAGCACTTACGGTAAGCAATAAATACTAAATAAAAATCTAGGACTTAAAAATTCTCAATTAAATCTAATTTTATATAATAATTACAAAAACTAAGGCATCATGCGACAGTGCAGTGTGCATCATTGCAAAATAAGATCGGGTGGACCATCAAAAGCCAAAAATACAAAATTTTTTTGGTTTCCAAAGAATCAAACCTTAAAAAAAGCATGGCTGCAAGCTATCAATCGAAGAGAAGAGGAATTGAATATGAAATATGGTAAATTTCTTTTAAAAATGTATATATTGTTTAGAAAATTATTTATTATAAAATGCAAATCAGAGGTCATTTGCAAATGAAATTGAATTCTTATAAGAGTAATAGTTGTTTATAAAAGTTTTTATATGTATACGGGACTTGTATTTTTAGCAAAAGTATGTCAACATCATTTTTCACCCGATTGCATGGAGGAAAGGTTGACGAAGCCTCGAAATAAAAGCATCGAACCAAGAATTATTGTTCGATTGATGAAGGTTGATTCAGTTCCAACACTTTTATTGGATGTACAAAGTCCACAACGAAATCAAAGAAATAAAGTCAAAAGATCTAGTCATGAAACAAACAAGTCGAACAAGAAATATTGGTAAGTTTTAATGCAATAGTATTTTATAAAGAAAATATATTAAATTTAAAAATAAAAAAGACTCAATAATTTCAAAATATATAAACATAAAAGGGGGCTACAAGCCAAAGTTATTCGTTGAAATACAAACTAATAAATAAACAAAGTCACATTTGATAAGTTATAAAATATAAAACATTTAATAAAAAGTATAATATAAAACAAAAAACAAACGTTTCGATCAATCTCAGATCATTTTCAATGTATAAATTTTTAACGCATACATTGAAAATGATCTGAATTTGATCAAAACGTTTGTTTTTCGTTTTATATTATACTTTTTATTAAATGTTTTATATTTTATAACTTATCAAATGTGACTTTGTTTATTTATTAGTTTGTATTTCAACGAATAACTTTGGCTTGTAGCCCCCTTTTATGTTTATATATTTTGAATATATTTATGATATTGTAGTCAAATCTCGACATAACAAATCTTACGACTATGTTCAAAATAAATTATTTATATAAAATAGAAGTATATAATCAGTATTTTTTATATGTACACCAAAGAGCAATGATTCCATGTACAATAAACGGATGTAAGTTTCAGTTGTATCGTTAATCGTGCATCTATGAGCATTAATGCAGATCGATGGTCATTTCTTAGATTATAAAAATTTTCGAAGGAAACAATCATTGCTCTTAGGTGTACATATAAAAAATACTGATTATGTTCATTTATATTTTATAATGAAATATTAAAAAATAGTTTCTTTTATGGTTTCTTATAAAGCTCTTAAAAGGATTCTTAACTTAAAAATAATTCTATTATTACGAATAAGAAGAGGTTTTTTTTGTAGTCGGATGAGCTTTTTATCTTTTTTAACCATTTACTTTATATATTACAGTTATATTGTCCCAACATACGAAGAACTCATTGCTCACTTGAAAAATGTTCCTACCGCTTCTAATGAGGAGAATCAATTTCCTGATAATTTTCTGACTACAGCATGTGCAATCGCATCGCAGTCGGAACAGCAACAGGCGTAAGTATATTCATGAATGCAAATATATTTGCAAAATTGTCATTGTATTGAGAATGCTAGTGCTTTAATACTTTTTTATTGTTTCATTAAAATCGATTTTTCGTTACAATTGTATGCATTAAAATAAATTAATAAGTAAAATAAATTTAATAAATTAATCAAAATAAATAAATTCATTGAAAATTCAACAAATTATGTATAAACCAAATCCTTAAAAATGAATAAATCTGAAAAATTAATGTGTTCTAATGCAATTTAATATATTACAGAAATGAACAAGAAACAGAAATTGAAAAATTGAATCGCCTGCTGAACGAATCACAGGAAAAAATGAAAAAAATGGAATTGAAATGTGGGCAGCTGCAGCAATTATTAGAAATAAAATCCAAGGATTTAGAAATCATGAAACAGAGGAATGAAGCCAATTTACAAGATATAGAAAAGAATAGAGAAGCAGAACAAAGAACTGCAACAATATTAAATTCTATATTTACACAAGGGCAAATAACAAAACTGTTTTCAGAAAAAGGAAAAAGAATTACTTGGTCAGTCGAGGATATATCTTCTGCAATTGCTCTTCGATCATTGAGTGGTAGAACGTACAGATACTTGCGAGAAGTGAAACAAATGTCATTGCCTTGCGAATCCACACTGCGAAAGTGGGCTGCATCATTCGACACGAGACCCGGATTGTTGAAGGATGTTTTGAAGATAATGCACTTAAAGGGAGAAAATTTAACCGCTACTGATAAAATTGCCATTCTATGCTTTGATCAACTTTTTGATTCGGGCTTTGAAATCCATGGTCAATTATACACAAAGCGATTGCTAGAGAAACTTTTGGCTCTCAATTCTCGTGATTTAAAAATTGCATTTAATTTGACGCAAAAACATCTTGATGTTCGAAATCAGCAGCGGCAATCAGTGAAATTGGCAGCCCAAATTTTCTCACGTCGGAATGCATTAGCAATTAAATATTGCGGCGAACATGGTTTTTTCGGTGAAGATCAAACATGGGATGAACTGTCAAAAATTCTGTTATTAATAAATGATTGGTTTGATGTGTGTAACAGCCAAGGAAAATATGGTCAACACGGTACTTGTCAAGCCTACGGAGTTGACTTAAAGAATCAAGATGAAATTTTAGATAAAATGAGTCGATTCGTTTCGAACTTGAGAGTAAAACAAAAAAATAATCTGCTTCCTTTTCAAAAAGGTATATTGCTGACGAATTCTTCTTTAAAAGGATTGTTGCAATACATAAAAAAAACATATTTTTCCGATAACTTCAAGCCTGAGTATATTATCACCAGACGACTGTGCCAAGATGTACTTGAAAATTTCTTTTCGTACATTAGAGCAATGGGAGCCGGCTATGACCACCCAACACCTGTCGGAATTCAGTATAGATTAAAATCTTACATTCTCGGGAAACATTCAGATGTGGGATTATCCATTGCACAAAATACTGAAGATGATCCAGATACACATTCTTTCATGGATTTAATTGACGTGCATACGAATGAATTATTATGCACAAGAGAATGTTTCGAAGACGATAATGTAGATGAGGATGATCTGGAAGCTGCATTGATATATAGCAACGAAAAATTACATTCGTCTGAAATAACAGAAATAAATAATCATGTAAATAAAGAAAGCGATGATCTAGGTGATTTCATTAATTTTAATTTACTACTTTTAAATGCTCACCGATATTAATTATTATTAGTTCTAAAGCGACTGAATTGTATATCTAAAATTGTATATTATTATGATTAGAAAAATTGTATAACTG